ACTTAAAAAAAACAACTCATAAGATTTACTAAAAAAATATATATTAAGTATTTGCACTCAAATGATTTAAGTAAAATTTTATGCTGCAATATCAAGTAACACTCAGTTGCCACTATCATGTGTATTCTACTTTCCATTAGACATAACAGTTGTGAAGATATTAAATAACACTTATTTTATTAAATCCAAGTTGGATTTGTTTAAGCAAATTAAGTAAAGCATACTTGTTTTTCATAGGCACAAACATTTTTCTCAAAGTTTTAAGTAAATCTAATATCCCTGTAGTATTTGCTGTTATGAAGTACTTAAGTAGATATCAATTATTTTCTTGTGCTTGACATATTGATTTACTTTGTTGCATTATGTTACATTATTCACCAATATTAGTTAATCATTGCCAGCTTTCTTTTGGTAAATGTTACCAAATTAATTGAACCAATAGTCTATACATTTAATATACATTATATAGTTTATTTTTCGTTTTAAACGGTTTAACAATAAAGTAAATATCCTTTTGTATTAAATTGCCCAGCCAGAAATTTGACTATCCATCCATTTTTTGTCAGGCTTAATCCCAGTTAGGTTCACGAGGGATGCTGGTGCCTATCTCCAGATATCTATGTGCGAGAGACGAGGTACACCCTGGACAGGTCACCAGTCTATCACAGGGCAACACAGAGAAAAACAGGACAAACAACCATTCACGCACACACTCACACCTAAGGAGAATTTAGAGAAGCCAATTAACCTAACAGTGATGTTTTGGGACTGTGGGAGGAAACCAGAGTACCCTGAGATAACCCATGCATCTACAGGGAGAACATACAAACTCTATGCAGAAAGACCCTGGACTGGGAATCAAACCCGGAACCTTCTTGCTGCAAGGCAGCTGTGCTAACCACTTTGACACTGAGCAGTCCTCTAACTGGAATCATAATTTTCAAATGTGCAATTAATAAAGATTAATTACAAAAATTTCCTCATATGTAAAATCAAGAATATTTAACACAATTATGCTCAAAACAACTTCTGGGTGAGGGTCAGTACAGAAACAGCCACTTAAACCTTGACGAGTGGTCTAAAGATTATGTATGCCTCTATTTAAAAGAAAAAAATGTATGTACAAATATAGCATTAATAGTAAAAGTGCATTATGTTGTACTGCATTAGAATTTGTACTGAAAAAAGATATGGTTGGTATGTATGTAAACAAGAAAAACACAGTATTTGTATGCACCGCATTCAACACAGATCTGGTAATTTAGTCACTACTGAAATATGTGATAGATATCTTATGTAAACCCACAGTGTAAACCTACACAGTGAAACAGTGCAATTTCAACATTAAAACCAGTCAGCCAGACTACTGGATAAAATCAACACAATTAAATATTAACAGCTTAAACTGTCTAACCATTCTCAATGAACAATAAAATACTAGATATTTGAATAAGGGTATCTGTTGTTATTTTTTGCCAAATAACATATAGGCCTACCTTTTTTGGCAAAAAATAAAAACCATTAATGACAGGCAGCCTTCCACTAAGATTAACTGGAACCCACTGCTAATTCTTGGCTTTTGATGCCACATTTTCCTATCCTAAAATGACAAAGTCATGAATGCATTTAGGAAAGCAGCTTCAAATTCAGGGTGTTTAATTTTGTGGACAGTTTAAATCCATCAAATTCCAGTAAAGGTTTTGGAAGACTTCAATAGTGTAGCGTAACAGGGGAGGGTATGCCAAGTTCAGGGCATATATCAGTCCCATGAGCAGCGAGCAGGCTTTTGCAGCACTATTGCACCCTGCCAGAATGACTGTCATTGGGACTACCTCTTGCTCTGTGTGTGATCATGTAACGTCTGGACTCGGAGCAGAATCAGTCCTGCTATGAGCTACAGTACACATGCGCCATGCGTGGGTTTCAAAAGGCTACATTTTTAGAGTAAAGTTTATGTAGTATTTTTAGGTTTATGTACATAGTGCTATTAAACATTTAAATTGTATAAGGACATCTAAGTAAAATTTACTGTTTCCCTAAAGTTCATGTATAACATTTAAAAAATTTTTAATTTTATTTGAGAATCTTTAGTTTTTACCAGAGATGGCAAAAGTACTCACTTTCCGTACTTGAGTAAAAGTACAGATACTTGTGTTAAAAAATACTTTGGTAAAAGTGGAAGTACTGATTAAACTTCTTTACTCAAGTAAAAGTAACAAAGTACAGGCTTGTAAATTTACTTGAAGTATAAAAGTAAAAGTAGAAACCACTTTTTCCATGCCGTTGCCTACATTTTAAATGGATGTCTGCTAATAGGACTAGATCTCCGTTGTGTTTATTTTCAATCATCTCGTCGTCCATACTACTATGCTAACGCCACTGCCACCAAGCTGCAATGATTTGCAGCGAATGAATACCGCCGAATCTGTCGATTCATCTTGTAGTGGTGCGTCAAATGCAACGTAGATTCCCATCCAATTAGATTGAATTTGGTATTGATGACGTGAAAAATAATAACGGTAACTCCATTGAAATGATTCAAAACTAAAGTAACGAGCCAATTTTTATAAATGTAAGGAGTAGAAAGTAAAGATATTTGTGTAAAAATGTAAGGAGTAGAAAGTAAAGATATTTGTGTAAAAATGTAAGGAGTAGAAGTAAAAAGTCGCCATAAAAATAAGTAGTAAAGTAAAAATATCAGAAAAATCTACTTAGTACAGTAACAAAGTATTTGTACTTTGTTACTTCCCATCTCTGGTTTTTACTGACGCTTAAAATACAGAGTAGAAATTATGACGAATACTTTAATAGAGTTTACTGCACCAAATAGTGACTTTTTTCAGTGCAGTCCTTGTAAGATACCTGTAGTCCACATAAAGGATTCATCTGTGCACAGTGTGCTGGCAAATGTGCTGGCTTAAGCCTGACATGAGTTTCACTCTCTAAAAAAAAGCAAAAAAAAATATTGAAATTTGTCACAAGATTCTACATTTAATAGATGTAAATGTGTCTTAAATTGACTTGAATTGAATGGACTATTTCTACAGTCTAACGTTCTGTAATTCATTCAGCTCAGACACAGAGAAGAATAAGCATTACAAATTATACAAGTGATCATCGGTTAAAGAAAGCTTTTTTTTTTCTTGATGAACTGCTGATAAAAGACACCTGCTGTTGCCATGTCTGACTGTTTACCACTGTCCAAGCTATCTAAAGTAGTTGAGGCATGAACTGTCTGGTGTCCCCTTCCCTCGTATTTCTGTTTCTCCTCTCTTTATTTCCTGCCTCAAGTACTTCCGAGGGAGAGACACAGGTTGTGATGAGAAATCCGACCTCACTATCTTTGTGGGAAGACATTTCCTGTGCAAAGGATCTTAAGGGCAAAAGTGCCACATTATTACTGTGTCATCAATAAGCTACAACACCATTTTTTTTTCTTTTTGTCTTTTCGACAACAAAATGCATTTCTTTTTTTTTCCAGTAGTTTGCTTACTGTCTACAGCATGTTTGTGTGTGTTCAAGTGGACTTGGTTTTATGACCGTGTTGCGACTTTAGTCTGTTTAGACACTTACGTCATGGGGACTTCTGTCCTTATGGGGAACAAAATCCTGGTCCGCATATTGTAAAGTTCTGTTTTTTGAGCCAGGGTTAGGTTTAGGACTACAGTGTGTATTCATGTCAGGTAAGGGTTAGGTATATGTTGGTAATAGTTAGGGTTAGGGTAAGGATCTGGGTTAGGCCATATAAAATGAATGTAATTCAATGATATATCCCCATAGGTCTCAAAAACAAGAATGTGTTTGTGTGGAGGGGTAAAACTTACCTACCATATTTTTGTTTCTGTATCTGCTTAAAAAACAATGTAAAAGGTAAATGTAAGTTATTCTATTATCAACCTTTTAAATATTTAGATTTTCTTACTTAGAAGATATCATGACATATAATTTTAAACAGGCCATTCAACATTTGTTTTTTCTTATTTCAGCAACTCTACTAAATAGAAGGAAATTAAATTATTCTGTTAAGAGAGTGGCCAAAAAGCAGAATTGACTATGGATTGGTCTAGCCTGACTAATCCCTGAGCCATAAGAGCCAGTATTGATTTGTATATTCAAGCAGCGCGTCAGTAACACAAACATACTGTAGGTTTACAGCAGGCACTGAAGACGCCAACATCAGCAATACATGATAAGCACTGGTAGTGTGCTCCCCTGATGCACTGCAAATGAAAAAAAAGTTTAAAAACGTTTCCACCATTAAGTTTTTCTAAGCACCAGACCGTGATGCTTAACCTCAGTGATTTGCTCCTATTTCAATTACCCATAACACACAAACGTACACACGCACGCACACACACACGGATAGCTCACACAGCTCCCCCACTCAATGTCTAATGGTATAATACAGAAATAATGAGTCTCTCTGGTTGTGAGTTTTCGTATTACAATTTTATTTGATTATTCAGCTGAAACAATCCACACTGGCCTTTCAGTTTGTTTTATATGTGGGCTTGTAAGATTTAATTTCATGTTCTGTCATTAATTTCTACATAAAATTCATAAAGCTGAAATATTCATTCAAGCTCTTGAAGCTTTGGGATGGAAACAGAACCATTGTGGTATGTGGGTATTATTGCTTTTTTAAATAAAAAAAGTACAGCTTTCTTTTTTTTTTTTACCATCGCCTCTAGCTTGGCTTAGGTTTCTACAAAGTATTAACAAGAAATAAATAACTTTACAGACATAGAGCAACCAGATCACAATGTAATGATTTTTCCCTGCTGACTAAATATTGGATTCTGAAGTGCAAGAGCTGTGGATATGTGCCCTATGGTTTTACTCTTAGATAAAATACATAATTATTTCCTGTGAAACTTGCTCTAGCCGGGAACTTGCTAAAGGAGAATGCTGAAGAAGGATTTTCTAAGAGGATTTGTTTTCATTAGCATCATTATTTTCATCATATTGACCCAATTTATCTTCTCTCTTTATTTTTACAGGCAGATCTTCTGATGACCTAATGGAACTGAATTTACAAGCAGTACTGTTTTGGGTCGTGGCGCTGCACTTTGGCTCTGCCGACGGCAGTATCCTCTATCGAGTCCATGAGGAGCAGCCCCCCAACACTCTCATAGGCAGCCTGGCAGCAGACCAGGGGCTGCCAGATTCAGGTCACCTCTACAAGTTAGAGGTGGGCGCCCCTTACCTTCGAGTTGATGGGAAGACAGGAGACATTTTCACTACAGAGATTCCAATAGACAGAGAGACCCTCCGGGACTGCCGTTCCCTTGCTAAAGGCAAGCCATGCTATTTGGAATTTGAAGTGTCAGTAACCGATCTGATACAGAACCAGAGCCCACGACTTATTGAAGGACGCATTGAAGTACAGGACATCAATGACAACACCCCGCAATTTCCCTCTTCTGTGCTCACCATCTCAGTACCTGAGAACACAATCATGGGGGCATTATTCTCCATACCTTTAGCCACTGACAGGGATTCTGAGAGGAATGGAGTGGCTGACTATGCGCTGACTGCAGGCCCAGATGCAGCAACCCTATTTGGTTTACAAGTGGCTGATGACAGGGGAGGGAAACTCCCACAGCTCATCGTCCTAGGCAATTTGGACCGTGAGTTAAAGGATTCTTATGACCTCACCATCAAGGCAGTGGATGGAGGAAACCCTCAGCGCTACAGCAGTGCTCTGCTCAGAGTGGTTGTGACCGATGCTAATGATAACTTGCCCAAGTTTGAAAAATCCTCATATGATGCAGAAGTTTCAGAAAACAGTCCGGTGGGGCACTCTGTGTTACAGGTGAGATTGTTAAAAATATGTGTTTTAAAATGTGAATTGCTTAGATTTGTCTTAATTTTTCTTTTGTTTGTTTTTTCTGCAATTATTTTCAATTATTTTCTACTCTGATAAAGCCACATTTTAATGAGAGTTAGATGTACAAAAGATATTCTGTTTTAAAACGAACTTACTGAAAGTGTTATGTAGGAATGGATTGATTTAATATCACCATGATATCATAACTTTAGCGAAAAAGTTTGAAATCATAAACATTTTTAACTGTGTATGATGATGAAATCATTCATATTTAAACTGTAGAACATTTTCTGCTACTGCATCTTAAGCTGTGTATTTGTAATTATAATAATGCTATCACCACTTATACATAGAAATGCAAAATACAGAATAAATAACTGATTTATTTTATTGCTGGTGTGTATTGCTCAGAATAGTATTTTTTGCGATTCCGTTATTCACAGAGATAATCTTTACTCGTATATTAGTCAGGCAATCTACTGTAGTGGTTTGCATGCAGTTGGCAGGTTAACAGGTTTTAGCCTGATATCATTCAAACTGAAATTGAAAAGACAATACATTGATGCGTGGTACTTCTTATCATTTTTTTTCATCAAGTATTTTCAAAGCTTTAAATGACAGAAAGTGTAGAAGCTGTTTTTTTTTTTTTTTATTCAGTTAACTAGCAGTGTTATGACACAAATAGGGGACATCGCTAGATTATATAATCCGTACAGCTGTAGGAAGCTCTCTAATCTCTCTGATGTTTCATTTTAAGAGTTTAAAGCAAACAAACAAAACTTAACATTGTATCAACTTTTATACTCTTTAAACCAATCAGTAAGATGGATTGGCATAAAAAAAGCATCTTAAGGAGGGGGAATTGCTCTTAAAGATGGCAGAGGCAATTAAGCATTGTAAAAATATTTAAATATTCTTTGTCTATCAGTAATACATTAACTACCCCACCGTTTACAGTTCATAGAGTTTAAAGAGTTCAAGAATCGGTGAAATGTACATAAGCTAATAATCAAGATTAATTGGAGGCCTGTCCATCAAATGCAGAAAAAAACACGTTTGAAAATTTTAAGATATGCTGAGTTCTTCTCTAAACAGAGATGATGTTTTAAAGGTGATTGAGTGAAATTAAAATACTCTTTGATGATCAGATGACTTAAAATGTTTAATAATTTCATAATAAGTGCAGATGCCATGCCCATCATAAAAAAGAAAGGAAATGAATCATTTAATCGGCAATCAGCACATTGTTGAAAAGCTTGACTACGATAGTATGGAGAGACATCAGTAATTATTGTATCGGCAGCTTACATCTAAAACCACACTTAATACAAAAACAATATTCAGAAGTCTAATATTCAGAAATATTTCAGGAGTGATTCAGAAGTATTTCAGGGGCGATTCTTTAAGATATATATATATATATATATATATAAAGTATATATATCCTTTACAAAAAAGATTAGTTCAAAAATCCAGCTAATTCCACCCTTGGTTCTTAACTTTATTAGGCTGTACTTATATAAAAGTAGGGGGTTCATAGTTTGTTGCTGTATGTGTTTTGCTGGCTTCTTAGTGAAAAATGACTTATTTATTTTCTGAAATATAGTATTTCTTCATACTGAGATAAGGTTTTTCAGGTTCTTCTAAACAGTTCTTTTTCTGACTTGCTATAAGGTCTCACCATCCTTAAACTTGTTAAAAAAAACAGTATTACACATACTGTAGGAAAGCTTTAACACAGTATACTTTGATAGTTAAAAACGCTTCTTATTGCTTGCTTTGGTGTTATAATGTCAGAAAAAGAAAAGAGGGATAGTAACATTGTCATAGTGTAGGTATAAGATGTTCTGTGCAGCATTCTCTATATATATTACTTTGAAGTCTTTAATCTGATTTCTATAAAGAAAAAATGTTGCCCTAATATGTTACCATATGTCTCCCTATAGATATAGATAAAGAGATAGACATAGAATAGCTACAGTAACACAACCATCAAATTTAAAGTGGGGAGCCATTGAGAAAATTTTTTTGACTGAAATGCACATTTTGTGCTTCTAAAAAAAAATTAGTAAATCAAAGTAAACTATGTTATCATGCTTGCTTTGATTTACTCAGATGATTAGTTTGTTATTTAAATATAAACTTAAATAATAAAATAACACCAGTTTCCTTTTAAATCCACCAACATTTGTTGCTTGTGATTTAAGCCGTTAACCGCTTGTTCTGTTTCCATTATAGGTCAAAGCAAATGACTCTGACATGGGCCCTAATGGAGAAATTGAATACACCATTCACCAAGCAGTCGACCCAGTGCCAAAACTCTTACGAATTGATCGATCTACTGGCATTATCTATGTCAAAGGACCTCTGGACAGAGAGGAAATCAGCAGCTTGTCTTTCTATGTGGTGGCAAGAGATAAAGGTCCTCAACCTAAGAGCTCTAAGACGTTTGTAACTATTGAGGTGACTGATCAAAATGACAATGCTCCCGCAGTGGAAATTCGTGGAATTGGTCTTGTGACTCACAGTGAAGGAGTGGCCAATATTTCAGAGGACATGCCAGTGGGGACAGCTGTTGCTTTGGTCCAGGTTTCTGACAAAGACGAAGGAGAGAATGCTGTAGTTACTTGCGTGGTTGCAGGAGATGTTCCCTTTCAACTTCGCCCTGCCAGTGACTCTCCCACTGACAACAAAAGAAAATACTTTCTTCAGACAACTACACCACTTGACTTTGAGAGAGTCAGGGACTACAGAGTAGAAATTGTTGCGGTGGATTCGGGAAACCCAGCACTATCCAGTACAAACTCCCTAAAAGTGCAGGTGACCGATGTGAATGACAACTCACCAATATTCTCCCCAACATTGTTTGAGGTAGACTTTGCTGAAGAAAACCAACCAGGTGAGAGGATTTTAGATGTCACTGCTACAGATGCTGACAGTGGCACAAATGCCCAACTCTTGTATAACATTGTGGCGGACTCAACCATTAAAGCTTTGTTTGAGATCGACCCCAACTCAGGGGAAGTAAGAGCTCGAAGCCCACTGGATCGTGAAAATAATGAGCGGTATGAGTTTCGAGTCACAGCGGCAGATAAAGGATCGCCTGTTCACAAGGGAACAGCAACAGTTGTGGTAAAAGTTCTTGATCGCAATGACAATGAGCCAAAGTTCATGCTTAGTGGCTACAGCTTTTCAGTATTGGAAAACATGCCTCCCCTGAGTCCTGTCGGTATGGTGACAGTTCAAGATATGGACAAAGGTGAGAATGCTCAAGTTCACCTCTCTGTAGAACCTGATGGGGGGAAGTTTGTTGTTCAGAATGGAACAGGTACTATTCTTTCAAGCATCTCATTTGACAGAGAAAAAGAAAGTAGCTATACTTTTCGTTTAAAGGCTGTGGATGGGGGAGAACCGCCCAAGTCTTCTTATGTTGGTGTCACCATTAATGTACTGGATGAAAATGACAATGACCCTGTTATTACAAAGCCCTCCAATTCTTCCTTCAGGCAGTTATCACCTCTAGCATCCCCAGACAGCCATGTTGAAGTGGTGGAGGCTGAAGACCTGGACAGTGGGCCGAATGCAGAGCTAGTCTTCAATATTGCTGGAGGAAATCCTTACCAATTATTCCGCATCTCTCCCACAACTGGAGAGATTACTCTAGCAAAGGAGATGACCCGCAAACATGGGGGACTGCATCGTCTAGTAGTGCGTGTAAGTGACAGGGGAAAGCCTTCACGCCATGCTACTGCCCTGGTTCACATCTATGTCAATGAAACAATTTCAAATGTCAGCTTAGTGGAATCCCTGGTTGGACACAGTCTTTATACTCCACTAGACAGGGACATTGCTGGTGATCCTGACAGTGGTTTTGCTGCACATCGCAGTAACATTTTGTTTGGCAGCCTTGCCGGTGTGGCAGGAGTTGTGATGTTGATCTTGGTTGTAGTCTTTATCCGCCACCGCATTCAGAGAGAAACAAAGAGTGGCTATCAGGCAGGTAAAAAAGAAACAAAGGATCTGTATGCCCCCAAGCAGGCACCAAAGAATGCCAAAGGTAAACGAGGCAGAAAAGGCAAGCCCCCAAAGTCCCCAAAGCCCCTTGGAGAAAATGAAGAGGTCGGCCTTCAAAAGGGTCTGAAGTTCAACCTTGATGGAGTCAATGATAGCCCCCGGATACACCTGCCCTTAACATATTCACCAGGAAGCCCAGATATCGGCAGACATTACCGCTCCAACTCTCCCTTACCTTCAATTCAACTGCAAGCCCAATCTCCCTCAGCTTCTCAGAAGCACCAGGCTGTGCAGGACCTCCCAGCAGCCAACACTTTTGTCGGAACTGGAGGAGATGACAACTCTACCGGCTCAGACCAGTACTCAGATTACAGCTACAAGACCAGCCAACCCAAGTATAGCAACAAACAGGTAAATAATGCTGGTCTACTTTTTAAGTGTTCCATTGAAGGAGTAAGTGTTTGTGTGTTGATGTTTTTTTTGGGGGGTAACTGATAAGGATTAGGTAAATAGCACCAACAAATTTACATTATGAATTCAGCCCTTACATTTATTTTTATTTCCTTAAGGGAAAGTATGATCTGAAGTTGAAGAAATACCGATGATACATTTGGCAAACATTCTATTAGTATCATCACTTTGGACATTAAGTCTTTCAGATTTGTTACTATTATTTCCTTTTGTTCTCAATTTCCTACACTTGAGACCAGTTTAATTTCTAAATTAATAAGATAACTAATGTTCAATATTGATGTCATACTGATAACAGTATGCCTGATTAATAAGAAAAAATATATCAAAGATTTTAACTGTTGGCTGATACATTTAGGGACATGGTATTTGGCTACATTGCAAATTCCCTGTGAGAATTCAAAAGTGAAAATACACTTTTTGTTCATTTCCTGGACATGTAGAGAACGGCAAGACCTTTCAAGTTTTTTTTTCCATCAAATTGACAGCAGAATTGAGCAGGCAAGGTCCATTTTTTCTGTTACTCACTTCTCCTTTTGCACCCGACCTCCAGTGCTCTGGATCTCCACAGGTCACTTGCTCTTATCTCCCTGCTCCTTATGCTCTTATCTTCTCTTATCTTGACAACATTTGGCAAGACTCAAATTGCCATGGAAACAGAAAATATTAATAGACTCAGAGGGGATTACAAACAGGAAAAAAATGGAGTCTAGGGATTGGAAACTAGTGTGTCTTTAGGTTTCTGTGTCATTTGCAGTTGTCTGAATGTACAGTATATGATGGACTAGGCAAGTAAGAGTGTATACATTGTATGCAAATCAGCATTTTATAATAAAAATGAGGCAGACATCTTATATCGTTGAAAATTACAGTATGTTGTATAATGATTACACTTGTCCAGATGTCTTGATTTTATTTCTATGTTTATGACACCCCTTTCATTCTCAGGGTTTATATAGTACTGAACTACAGGTGCTGGTCATAAAATTAGAATATCATGAAAAAGTAGATTGATTTCAGTAATTCCATTTAAAAAGTGAAACTTGTATATTATATTCATACATTACATACAAACTCATATATTTCAGATGTTTATTTTGTTTAATTTTGATGATTACAAATGACAACAAATGAAAATCTCAAATTCATCATATCAGAAAATTAGAATATTGTGAAAAGGTTCAAAATTGATGGCCCCTGGTGCCACACTCTAATCAGCTAATTAACTCAAACCACCTGCAAAAGCCTTTAAATGGTCTTTCAGTCTAGTTCTATAGGCTACACAATCATGGGGAAGACTGCTGACTTGACAGTTGTCCAAAAGACGACCATCGACACCTTGCACAAGGAGGGCAAGACACAAAAGGTCATCGCTAAAGAGGCTGGCTGTTCACAGAGCTCAGTGTCCAAGCACATTAATAGAGAGGCGAAGGGAAGGAAAAGATGTGGTCGAAAAAAGTGTACAAGCAAGAGAGATAACCGCACCCTGGAGAGGATTGTGAAACAAAACCCATTCAAAAATGTGGGGGAGATTCACAAAGAGTGGACTGCAGCTGGAGTGAGTGCTTCAAGAACCACCACACACAGACGTATGAAAGACATGGGTTTCTGCTGTCGCATTCCTTGTGTCAAGCCACTCTTGAACCACAGACAGCGTCAGAAGCGTCTTGCCTGGGCTAAAGAGAAACAGGACTGGACTGCTGGTGAGTGGTCCAAAGTCATGTTCTCTGATGAAAGTAAATTTTGCATTTCCTTTGGAAATCAAGGTCCCAGAGTCTGGAGGAAAAGAAGAGAGGCACTTCATCCACGTTGCTTGAAGTCCAGTGTAAAGTTTCCACAGTCAGTGATGGTTTGGGGTGCCATGTCATCTGCTGGTGTTGGTCCATTGTGTTTTCTGAGGTCCAGGGTCAACGCAGCCACATACCAGGAAGTTTTAGAGCACTTCATGCTTCCTGCAGCTGACCAACTTTTTGGAGATGCAGATTTCATTTTCCAACAGGACTTGGCACCTGCACACAGTGCCAAAGCTACCAGTACCTGGTTGAAGGACCATGGTATCCCTGTTCTTAATTGGCCAGCAAACTCTCCTGACCTTAACCCCATAGAAAATCTATGGGGTATTGTGAAGAAGAAGATGCAATACACCAGACCCAACAATTCAGAAGAGCTAAAAGCCACTATTAGAGCAACCTGGGCTATCATAACACCTGAGCAGTGCCACAGACTGATCGACTCCATGCCACGCCGCATTGCTGCAGTAATACAGGCCAAAGGAGGCCCAACTAAATACTGAGTGCTGTACATGCTCATACTTTTCATGTTCATACTTTTCAGTTGGCCAACATTTCTATAAATCCTTTGTTTTTATTGGTCTTCAGTAATATTCTAATTTTCTGATATGATGAATTTGAGATTTTCATTTGTTGTCATTTGTAATCATCAAAATTAAACAAAATAAACATCTGAAATATATGAGTTTGTATGTAATGTATGAATATAATATACAAGTTTCACTTTTTAAATGGAATTACTGAAATCAATCTACTTTTTCATGATATTCTAATTTTATGACCAGCACCTGTATAGAAAACCAAAATCATCTAACTTCAAAGATGCCTTGCCTCAAAAGACAGCATAGCATAGGGCCTTTTGCATAAACAACCACAACTGCAGATAGAGTATAATTAGCAACCTAACATGACTGACATCTCTGAACTACACCGAGCAATACTTTAAAGAATCAAACAACTAGATCTAGCAGTGCTGTATTCATGTCGCCACAGTGCATTTTCTATTAAAGGATGGTGATTATTTGAAAAATGCTTGACAATGATTTATTTTCACCCAACACAAGATGACAGAAGCTTTCAAGAAGCTTCCCACGTTGCAGTGTCACAGGTACTAAACAGTGTGACACCCTCTGAGGCTTTGGAGATAATGTTTGCCACATGGACAAAAAAAGAAAAGAAATTAGTAAAAATAGAAGGGGAAAACATGGCACTGAGTTCTGAACATGTGTAGGTGACAAGTTTTCTGTGGAGAAATCTTCAATACCAGCCTCACAGTTGACTGGGTGGTGGTTGTAGCAGATGCTAGCTGACAGCTTAGGTGATCATAAGCCTTTTGGTGGGTGGAGTCAGTTTGGAGAAGAGTCACCACTGTCTGTTTGACGGACAGCAAAAGGGACCAAAATGACTGCAAGCCACAGGGTGTGTCTTTTTTTTTGTGTGTAGTGCCAATCTCGATGGTTTGTGTGTCAGCTTACTCCTTAGTTGGAAAAACACTAATTGTGGCTGTTGAACAGCTGTAAGCTCTCAGCTTTTGACAGTGCCGCGCATTAAGTTTTTCAACTTCATAAACAGAGACATGGATTAGGAATGGTTGAAGTGATTGACAGAGAGCGCGAAAACACGGGCAGATGCTAGAGCTCATATGACATACCTCAGCAGATGTCGTCTCATGTATGGCCTACCCTCTCACATCAGGAAGAACAGATTGACCAAAATATATAATTAAAGTCACTGCCAAGGGATGTGACAGATGTAGAGTCGTGCCCTTGCGTTAATTAACTGTGCTGCTCTCAACAATGGCTTTTCATTTGAAATGTGATCAGGCGTCTGGGTTTGATGCACAGTTCGCTTCATGACATTATGTCTAAAAATGACTGCTTATTTGCTTTCAGATTATGAACACACAGAGGGATTTTAGTTCAACTTTATGAGCTCTCTAACATTTTGTATCTAAAAATCCTTTACTTTCTCTTCTAAGGCTCTAAGTACAGTTCAAATATTGCATTTGTATTTACTTAACACACGAATAATACCTGTGGCATGGACATGTGTTTACCTTTGTATATATTGACTTTTTGAGTAGATGATTAGATATTGAGGCTTTATAGAGCTAACATGACTTAGCTTTCCCTGATTTTACATAGGCATAACAGGTGGGAACATTTAAAACAATGATAAATTGTGTAGAGCCTCTTCAATATATTTCTAATCTTTCATGATCAACTTATATGTTTTATTGGTAAGGAAAATAAAAAAAAGTAGTATTAATGCAGATTTGTTTGAAAAATGAGGTGCCCTACATTGATAACTCTGCAAAGAAATGAAAAAAAAGTGTGATTGCTCAAATTATTTTCTTATTTTAATTATTTAAGTTTTGGATTTTATGATTGTTATGATGTTTTAAAATTGTGTCAATCTTAGTTAAGAACAAAGTCACCCATAGCGCAAGTTTCCAAAGAGGCGGCCAAAATGTTTGCCACTGCTTATCTTACTGGGTGGAGGAGCAATAATAAAAACAAATATACCACTTTTTAAGACTGTTATCATTTGTACAATGCTTTCTATAAGTAGTTGTGACTGTACCTGGTTTATTCTGCTGTTGTATTTTTTTATCATACTGTAGTTAAAAGTATAATATCAGACAAAAATAACTTGAATAAATACAAACTTGAGTCTTCAAATCATGATTACTTTGAAGTAGAGCAAAACATCCAATTCACTTATCCCTAATGTGAAAAACACATGTATCTCCTGACCTAATTGTCATGTCAGCCTCAGTGGGAAACAGCAGGCAATGTGTCTTTTACATGGTTGTATATAAACATTTTAGTCATTATTACTTTGTCAATGACATGTCACCTTTACAATCTTGTATTACACTTGAAATAATTATTTGAAAACTTGTGCTTGTATTGATGGAGTTTTCATTTGGTCTGTTATGAAAATAGTTTTAAGATTTCAACATAGCAAAATGTAAAAACAGGAAATGTGTAAGGATACATTTAATGTCATGGTTTTAAGGTGTTTGTCCCACATGCAGACACAGACGGGGGAAAAGAGAAGCAGTTTAAGATGATAATTAGACTACACAAAATCGTCTGTGAACAGGGGCCACAGACGAGGTTTGGAACGTCAGTGTTCAGAGTTCTG